AAATGAGCGAAAAAGTGTAAATAACGTAAAAGCGAATTCTACGAAATGTTTTGAAGAAACATTTTTTTAATATACATAGTAGCCAAATAAATGTAAGCATATTAGAGATTTTTTATATTATGTTTAATGCCATGGAAAATCGAGATAAAACAAAATGTTAACTAGTGTCTTACGTGCAATAATCATTTAAATGTTCTGCAAATCTTACTCTTCTTCCAGAACGCGTTGTTTTAAGTTTATTTTCAGATACTGTCGAAGTACCATCGTGCGTGTTGTTTGTCGTCGGATAAAGTATTATAAGCGTAGGAGTCGTGTTGTGTGATTGTACCGAAGGGAAATCGACGTGAATAGGATTTCCTTCTAAATACGCTGCTTTGAGGCGATCGATGCTGATGCTATCGTTGGCTCCGTCCTTATCGATTATATAGTACTTCGGTTCGCGTTGAAGAACTTTGATAGGTCCTTCGTATGCTGATCCGAAAGGTCGTCGATGCGAGTCTCGACGCACGAAGACGTGTGTACTATATCATAAGTCAGGTTGAACGAAAATATCAGTTGATTGGGGTCCAGTGGAAACAGGTTTAACTGAATGCATTGCGTTTGTAAGCCTGTTCGTGTAGGAGGTTAGATCCATGTTCATTGAAGAGGATGAAGGATCCACGAATTATCCTGGAAGTCGAAGTGTCGTTCCATAAACGAGTTGAGCCGCAGTGTATCCAATGTCAGCTTTCACTGCATTGCGAATACCTAGTAAGACAAGTGGAAGAGCGTCGGTCCATTGTGAAACGTTTGCAGCTGATAGTGAAGCTTTTAATTGTCGGTGAAAACGTTCTACCAACCCGTTTGCTTGTGGGTGGTAGACGGTCGTTCAGAAGCGAGTGATTCCTAATAGTGTGGTCAGACGACGAAAAAGTTCAGATTCGAACTGACGTCCGCGGTCTGTAGTGATGGTTGAAAGGCAGCCGAAAACTATACTGAGACAGTATGTTTGGGATCGTGATATAGATAGTTACAACCGGACGAACTGATGGACACATGTTTGTAAAAACGGGCACGGAAATATGTGCTAAAAGGAGAGGAGCGATAAAGGTGTACGTAATTATTTAACAAATATTAAGAATCAGTGGATGGAAGTAGTGAAAACTAATGGGAAAACCATTTCATTTGAGATAAAATCAATCCCAAGAGATCCTCTTAGCTAAAGAAGTGTGGACAGCCATTAACCTCTTCTGAGACATGTCTGATAACAAATTAGGTTTTCTCTAGGACCCCCTACCAGAGAGTTGTGGACGGTTCCAGTCCCATACACCTACCCTTGTGTCAAGGCACCATTCCATAAACTGACCATCTGTCCACTTTTCCTAACCAGTCCCACAGTCGGGAAGCAGTGCAAAATATGAGAATCATTGAGACGACATTCGTAGTAAATGTCTGAGCCACCAAAGTTGATGTTTCAAGGTGACACAGTGAATAGTCATTATGTCCAAGCACACTTCACGAAACATCGGCGCTACTAATACGGTGTTGACGCTGAATATTAACAATATTTCAGAGTCAACCACGATCGAACACAGTTGCCTTACATCCACAACCCGGAGAGGCCACGGGCATAGAATAAAACTGCTTTACCGACACACTATAAACTACACTTTTTACAGCCAAACTAGAATTACAACGATCCAAAGATGAACAGGGTTGACATAAGGCGCTAAAGCTTCCCCAAAATGTAAAATGATTCTACCAGTCACTTTTCGAATACCAGGAGTGAGTGCATGTTCAGGGCTTCGTAAAAGCACTTTGAATTTGTAGAGGGAAACATTAGCCATGTCTACGGACACTGATTAAGGTCGGTTTGCATGATGGGGACACTACCTAATAGTTAGGCGGTATAATCCGAATACTCCGGTCGACCCTCGGGTAACATCCACGCTACCGCCAACCTCCATATATCAAGGCCGTTTTCAGAATGACGTCAATAGGAAAGTTGGGGAGGAATGGTTAGACTGGGCAACCCCGCCTGACCTCACGGCTTAGATGCGACAATGGAGAGAGGGGCTTGTATGCCCTATTTCTGCCTCGTGTGTGTGTATATGGAACTTTCAATATTTTAAGAAGCTTACCAAGCACACACTTCAGCAGATAATCCTAGAGCACAGTACCGTCCAACGGATTGAAGGCGACCCTGAGATCAAGAAACCAGCGATTGTTGGCCCGCAATAAGTATAGAGGCCTCCTAACATTTGGTGGAAAGCGAAAACATGAACAGTACATCCCCGAGCAGAACGAAAACCAGCCTGCTTCTTGAGAGTAAATTCTTTATAAACTTCGGAGTATGACGGAAGCCCAAACAACTCAGTCAAACTCCTTGGTTGAAGGTGTGTCGACATCCTGAAAACGATATGCGGGTAAGTCGTCAGAGCCCGGTGGTTTACGGTGCTTCGAGAGTGAGTTTCTTGCAGATTTCTGCCTCGTTAGGTGGGTGTCATCACTGGCCATCGAAGACGATACAGTCTAGCCGATGTCACTAGGACAGAAGACTAACCGGATCATTCCTTGAAAGACTCCTGATTGTAAGTGTTATTGATTGTCGTCCAATCTGCTTCACAGGTCTTTTCACTCACACCAGACTTCTTGTTGCCTGTGACTCGGATGACTTATAATATGTCGTTGCCGCTTCCAACCCTTCAGCATGCTCTGACCACCAGGCTTTTTGGTCCTCTAGCAAACTTGACACAATTTTTCTACATAAGAATTTACGTTTACTGTCAAACTCGCAGCTGGTCGGAGCAGACCTACGTGCTTCATGAAAATATAAGGAGGTTGTAGAAATCCCAGTATTTATAGGCGGACGTTTCGTGAGGCCACCAGTGGCTGTACTCCCCATTTTCATGGCGTCATCCAAATGTAGCTAGTGTTGATCTGCACTTTTCGATGGGTATGATAACTAACCTCAAACATTAGCTCGCTTTGATATTTATTTGCAACGAGAGCTGCAACCAATTTACTTACGCCAATCTGTTTATGATGATGGATTTGTCGGCCACTGGAAAGCAAGGTATGATTAGCTCAATTAGAGTTTATATAAGTCTTGTACACAACCACCCCAGCTGTAGCTGACTGCGATATGATCAACCTCAGTCCTGGCTTGAGTTGCAAGAGTGAAGGATATGATTAAGTAAAGACGAAGGGTAAGATGCATATGCACCACTAACTTGTTTTTAGCCATATTTCAGTCTATCTAAGCTATTTTGAAGGCCCTTGTCATAAAGAATGCATATATAACTACTGAATAACCATGTCTTCAGATTTTGACTATCTAATCCCATAGTAAGGAACAATCGAGAAAGAGATTCGACGCAGAACCTGATAAGTGTGTACATTGGTTCAAGTCTTCATAACCCAATAGCATAAGGAGGTGTAATCGTCAGGATAAATCCCGGAATAGAAGAGATAACAGAATGAGTGGTTGCAGAGAAGACTAGTGATCAAAGAAACGACCCAAGAAAGTATGAATTAGTAAAATAAAGACAAAGAGTTATGAGGAACTCAGAAGCCCATAATTTGGGGAAAACAAAAGAAGCTGCACATGGACCATCGTGAACGATTTTGATCCATGTTATTCATCTATCAATGTGGCTGAGTCCCATTTTCAATGTCTCCATGGTCCGATGTCATGTTTTGGTTTGGCCGCCCATAACTTTCTTCCAGCCTACTCCTACAACACTCGCCGAGTTAAGCGAGCACAGACTAGAATTACAGTTAATTAACACAATGTGAAGCAGTCAACAAGTGGGATCAATTTTACACACTAGATGTCCTCCTATACTTAGTGTGTCGAATGTCTTTTCTCATCAATCCCACTTGACCCATCAAAAGGCTTATCCTGGCGATTAACGAGGCTAGGAAAAGTCATTTATTGCACTAAGCTCACAATAACCCCACACCAAGATTAATTTCACGGGTGCTTTTTCGAAATTATGACTGATAGCCTTCTTGTGTTATTTCTGAAGCTTATCATTTGGTGATGCTCTAGTAATATGTGGCATCTTTTACTGTTTTTCATATTTACCAGATAGTAGCCGTTCGATAAACGTGTATTTCTATCCCTGTAGTACTCAACTGTCTTACTGAACTAGTTCTTCCTGTGTTATAGCTGTTGGTGTATTTTCTCAACAAAACTCATTTGTAAAGAAATAAAACACCAAGCGCTTCGGTGAATGTAAAAGGATTAGAAAGACATTCTGCCAAAATAAATTTAACTTGAATGGCCGAATCGGCTTCGTCTACCTTGTCTACAATAACTTGGTTATTGGTGGTTTAGCATTAAACGCGGTAATTAGTGTACTCATATAGAATTGGCGTATAACGGCTAAACGTTTTGCTATTTCGCCCGATAACAGGATCCAAACACTAACGCCCTTGCTTTGGTTAGATTTATGAAGGAAACCAATTACATGGAGGGAAACAATGTTTTTCAAGTCCTAAACAATAGTAGCGTTCAACCCATTAACGTAACGTCTTACCGTTAAATATACACTTACTAATTTATATTTAATAAACATATACTTTATGCAAAAATATGACCCTTCTAGTATTGGGTATTTCGGTGAGATTCGATAACTGTTTGTTCGGTACATTTATAGAAGGGTGATAAGATAGATCACAGGCCTACTTACATATAAACGGTACATAGTAAATATTTTAGATCTTTGTTCTTGCTGTCTTCAATATTCTAAACAACAGAAAAAATATATTTGTCAAAATCAATCCAGTAGCTACTGTACTAATGTGCCAAGTTTGGCACCGACCTAAAGCATCAGAAGTTTCTTGCACAAAATTATTACCCAACAGTAAAACCTATATATCTACAATCATCAAAAAATCAGAAAAGCATTTGAATTATTAGATTACCTATTAAGTGAAAATATTTAGGAAGTTACAACACTAAAATTAAATGCAAATTTCAAAGATAAGCTTCGATATATCGGAAAATGTGAAAATCAAGCCAAAGTTTCTGGGTCCTCGGTCAGGAGTACTGATAACTCATTTACATTAGAAGGAATGTTCTCTCTTTTTCTGACCAATGATTGCCTAACTGCATCTTCGATCTGTCCCAGACGTTTACGAACACGAAGAGCAGAAAGGCGTACAGACCAATCATCATGCCAACATTCTTGTATCACCTGTGAATAGCAGGATAGATAGGTGTCATCTAACCAACGCTGGTAGATGCGAGGCCTACAATGAACATTGTCGTAATCTGGACTTGTCTTGGGGGATTTAGTGTTTATACTTGAGCTATTCCTGTTCAATTGGTTTGCTTGATCATCACTTATGGTCAAACTATTGCCACAAACAATATCCCTCATCTGTGAGAAGGTTGGATCAGGAGGGACCATGTCGTAGAATGGTATCTGTAGAAAAGTTTCAAATTTGGAACAAAGATTATAAGGAATCATAAAAAATTACTAATAAACGTTGCTGAGTTGTTGGCAATTACTTGATGTCATAACACACAGAGTTTACTATCCTCGGAGCTTAACAATTTTATGCACCATAAGCGACTAGTTCATTAAAAATTTAGAAATCATATTAAGCCGTTCAGACATAACAAATGTCTGTCAACATGTGCAAACATGACGAAGTGCAGGATGGCTTTGAATAAAGCCATTAACAATAATAATAAAGTGTTATGATATGAAAGGAAGTTGTAGCGGACTGGCTTCTGTCGGTCCTTCACGACTCCCCGGTTGTGGTCCTAGAGATGGTGCAACACAGTGATGTACCCTTAACTTTGAATCACCGTAGAGCATTACGTAACAAAAATGTAAAATTTCGTGGATTTTCACTAGTATACGAGCCTTAATAAATCATATGACTGGATTAAAAAATAATTAATTATTGTGCTTTGCCCTTGAGATTTCACAAATATTCATTAACTACGGGGATATTCATAGAAAAAGATCTGATGACATCAATAATAACAGTCAAAACAAGAACTTAGAAATAATAAAATTCATCAGTTTAGGGATTATATCAACAAAAATACTCAAACTGATGTTACAGAATGCACTGGTGCGGCTAAGGGTGTGGGAGCCAGCTCTCTTCGAAATGCTCTCTTATGACTACGCGTATACAACCACTGCCAGGGAAGTCCTCACTGCGTTTTCGCGGTGGGGGTGTTGTTTACGAAATTGAGAGGACGAAAACGAATGTCCGACACTTTAACCGGGGTGGTGGGTGCAGAGGATCCACCTAGAGGAGTTGGAAAACCCTGATTTCAAACCACACAGGATCCTGAGGGAACAAATGGCGTATGAACCACTCGTCGGTCATCGATTACAATGGGACTGCATCTACTGACGCTACTCCACTGCCTCGTGGATCAAACCTTTGGTCGAAGACTCCGGGTGTGGCCTCCTAAGAAAACCACCTACTTCGGTTTGGGCATCCGGGCAGTGTCACATCTCACATAAATCAAGTGACTTGTGGCGCATATGTATTCGGTACCCCTTTGCACCAATATTTGTGTTTAAATAAAAAAGATCTGCGAAAATGTGAGTCACACGAAACCGAATAAATCAATATGATCCCTTTTGATAAAACATTGTTTGTTGATTATTTGAAAAGTAGATTTTTCTCTCAAATTCTAAGAAACTATTATCCTTCAATATAGTTGGTGCTTTAGAACTTTTTGCACACGAGTAAAAATATTGAACTATAGAACACTTTACTCTATCAATAATTACGATCTGAAATTCATATACTTACGACAGCACTAATTTATAATACATAATTTTCATATTAGTAAGATAAACAGAAAAATGCCTTTAATAATAGTGAATATCAAAGTATGGAAAAGTCAATGTACAAACCTGATATCCTTCAACAAAATCAGATGTTATTCCCTGAGTGCATCGTGCTAATTCCCAAAACACGAGGGCCATCGCATAAATATCTGCAGCTTGGTAAACTTCAAATGGCAAATGGTGACTTCTGTTTGGACTATCAATACTTTCATTAGTTATACATGACGTATTGTTGCCGCAGTTAGATGATGTGTGTGCTATATCAATCGCCATAAGTAACTCAGGTGCCATGTAACGTTTAGTACCAACCCTAGGTCCGGCAGGAGGAGGACCTAAAGAAGAAGGACCAGAAAGTCCACTGCACAATCTGTCTGACTGAGTTATACCGCTAGACATAACACCACTAGATAGCATTGAGGAAGATAAATTGAGGAAGGCTTGTCCGACTGGGAGACTTTGTAAATTCACAAGGGCAAGACCCAAGTCAGCTATACATGCAGTCATATCACTCATAACAAGAACATTCTTCGATTTGAGATCACGGTGTGCAATAGAAGGCTTAGCATGTAATCCTTTTATTTCTGTATGCAAAAACGCCAAGCCTGCTGCAATGGAGCTGGCCAGACGCAAACCATCCTGTAGTTTTAATGATCTGTGACTGATGAAGTCATGTAAAGATCCGTTAGCGTGATAAGCTGTAATTAACCAGAGCTGAGTGCATCCACCTCTTGATATCATGTCGCTAGCATAATACGCCAGGAGATTAGGATGACGCAATAAACCAGTGTTGTAAACTTCTGTTTCACGAGCCCAGCTGGCTTCATCACGACTAGAAAAAATCTTAACAGCAACGGTTTCACCTTGACATGTAGCTTTCCAAACTTCACCAAATCGTCCTTTCCCTATACACATTGTCAATCTAATATGACGTGCTACAGTTCTCTGAACAAGGAACGGAAGACCGCTCCCACTTCCACTAGTGCAGCTAATAAGTTCACACGAAGGATCAGGATTATGCAAATTTTTTGAAGAAAGATTATTTCCCATTCCGGGTGAGACATAAGATGATAACTTACGATTCGAAAACTGTTCTTCATTGAGTTTTACTAGATAATTGTAGACATCTGTAGTGAAGCTGGGAGGTTTGTAGCTAAGTTCATTGACATAGCGATCGTAGTTTTCTATTCGTTTTTTTAAAAAGCACTTCCAAAAAAGCATGATCGCTAGAAGCCCACAAAACAGTGCAAAGGTAGGGAACAACACTGCTGTCAAAATAGATTTCCATGTAAAGGCATGAGCATTCATTCGCATAGGACTGAATAATTCTAGCAAACTTGAGTTCCGATTGCATAAATCCCCATCATCTGGAGAACAACAATATAATAATTGTCTTCCAACTTTTGAATTTCGGCAGAGTAAGTCAACCTGATTTGTATTATTTGAAAAACACCCATACGACTCATCATCCACATATGTTAGTGATAAATCCAAATGCAATGAATGAAAACATCCTGTTGACGATACACAAACAGACCTGGAATATGGGCAACGGCTAAGAGGTGAACAATGGCAAAAGACAAGTAAAGATCGGTTTCGTGTACTCTTATTCATTACAACTACAACCTTTCATATAGTGAAGATTCAGTTGAAAGCATGGGAGACTGAAAAGAAAATCAGATAAGAACAATAAAGGTTAATTTGTGAGTAAACACCATGTTTGAATCATTAACAGAACATAGTAAATAATATACAGTTTTTATAAGTTAGTTTGTAAATATTCACATTTAGGTTAGATTTAATGGTTTCTAGAACTGTTTAGACTAGAAAAATAATATCCATTATTTTCAGGTTTGTAGTTTTGAATCCGTAAAAAGACAATCTAATTTTGTTTATTTAGCAACTTGAAAATAGAAACCTCAATATGATGCAAGCTATGCTATCAATCGCATATTTATTGCAACCTTATTAGAATATATTCAATAAATACATTGATTTTTACCCAACATTTATTTGACTGTGACCAACCATCTTGCTGACTTCTGTAATAAATGTTTGGTTTTTAGATTTAACCTAGAAATGAAAATAGGCTCGTCTACTAGAATTCCGATAGAATGTTTTAAGTGGCGGCTACTGGTAATATTTGGTTGTCCCGAAATTAAGAAGTTAGGAACTACTAGTTAAAATTGGATCGCTTTGAATACACAACCACTGCTCTTATAAATAGTTCGAGGACTCGTTTTACAATCAGTGGGTTCGTTTCGAGTACCGCTTCATTGGATCACGAGGAAAATACGTAAATTACTAAGAAAACCTTACCGATGCATAATGTTTGCTTACTGGTTAAAGATATTCAGTACTGTAAGCCAAAAGTCAAAGAACCCTCAAATACTAGATCAACTATTCACATCGCAATCTGGTCACTTCGGATTTAACAGTTCAGTAGTACCCTTAATCCTGCATGAAGGTCAGCAACATACTAAATGGGTGATTGATGCATTGATTCAAGATATCACAACTCAAATTACGTGAAAATAAAGGCACAATAGGAGTAAAAATGAAGGTAGGAAATCAAGATAAACAAGTACGAAACAGAAAGATGTTCGAAATGTACGAGTTAATGACCGCCACCTGCTTAAGGGAATGTCAGGTAATGAGTAGATTTGTCGTCTGATTTAGTTATGATTTGTAGATTAATATGAAATATCCCAGTAACACAAAGTATACTGAATAATTTGTCCCAGAAATCCGTTTAATCATAGTCACGAGATATTACCAGTTTTCTTAAGCATACACCAGCGATATTTGCAAACTATCCAGTTGCTTAAATCTGAAAGATAGTCGTAAGCTACTAGTATTTGACCACAGATGCCTTAGAAATATTACTTGCATCTGTTGGGATCACCGGGTAAGTAATAGTGAGGTTAGACGCAGGGTATTAGGGAATGATGGTAAATCAGTTGATGAGATTGTGAATCTTCGTCGACGGAGATGGTTGGGCCACGTGTTACGTATGCCCGAACACCGATTATCACGACGTGCAATGCTAACCGGTGTTCTGGATGGTTGGAAGAAAGTTAGGGGCGGCCAAACCAAAAAGTGGCATCAGTCCATGAAGTCACTAATTTCCAGTCTGAGCCATGTTGGTAGATGCAGACTACTTGGTTGGGGTCCACGTGACTATCGTAACCACTGGTTGGAGACTCTTGGTGACATGGCTCAAAATCGATCACAATGGCGTAGGTGTATATACTCTCTGTCTTCCCTTAAACCGTGAGATTAAAATTGCTTTATACCTTTCTTTCTACGAACTAATTCTTTCCCCCTGTATCAGATCCTTATATGAAATGCTTTTTCATATACTACCATTAAAGTAACTGCTTCTATGCGTTTGGTGGTCATCTTGTTGTGCTAATGAGGTATGGCAACTTCGACCGATGCATATATGTGCTTGGTCCTACGTTGTAGCTGACTGACTGACTTATCACAGCTAGCATACCTTTCATTGCACTACCAACTTGTACTTTTTAATCATTATGTTTACTAACGTAATTCATTCCACTGTTATCACTAACTTATAAACTCCCTTTATTGGTTTAGTTCTACTCTTAATGGTCACGTTTCGCAGCCGTAAAGAAGAACAGAACGAACTGCTGCGCAGTATACTCGTTCATTAATTGATAGACGGATATCTCGTCTTCGTTATAGGTGACGTAAGTTGACAAAAGCCAAGCGGGCTTTTCGGATCCGTACTGAGGTTTCGTCAGACACCAACCCATTAGGGCTGGTCAAACTTCCTAGATAAGTGAAGTTGTCGACGCGTTCGACTACTTCACTCCCTATCCTTAGTTCAGGTGTTGACGCACGCCAGTCGTGAAGCAAAAACTTGCATTTAGAGGGGGAAAAACGCATCCCAAACATCCTGGCATTGTTGCTCAGTGCTATCAAAAGACTGAATTTTATCAGCGTCTTCACTAAACAGGACTATGTCATCTGCGTATGCTAAGTTCATAAGTGGACATCCTGGTAGGAGATCAATGAACGAAAATTCAGTCGACGAGAGCGTTATTTCTATCAATAGGTCTATTACGAAGTTAAACAAAAATGGAGAAAGTGGACAGCCTTGACGGACACCACTTGAGGTTGCAAAAGCAGATGACGGTTCTCCACAAGCTGTCACTCGATTAATAGTGTTCGAGTAAAGAGCCTTCACAAAATTTATGTACTTCTGAGGTACGCCTTTTAATGACAGACACTACCATAGAACCTCTCGGTCTACAGAGTCAAATGCTGCTTTAAGATCGAGATAGACCACGATTGTCGGACGCCGATAAGCATGTCTGTGTTCTATAACCTGACGAATGGTGAATATGTGGTCAATGCAGCCACAACCAGGTCTGAAGTCAGCCTGATTTTCTCGTGTTTGCAGTTCACGAGTCTTTGTTAGGCGTCCGATAATTATTGAAGCTAGTATTTTAGATGCTATACTAGTCAAGGTAATGCTTCTATGGTTGTCACAGGATGATTTTGACCCTCTATTATATATTGGGACAATCAGTAATTGCGACCAGTGATGCGATTACGTCCAACTACCAGATTTCAGCTGAAATTGGACCACATCAACTAAAGACCTCTGGAGCCAATCCATCTGTACCAGCTTGTCTTCTTCATTTCAGATTAGCTATAGCCTTTTGAACTTCAGATAGAGTCGGGGGACCTATTTCAATGTTCCATTCACGCTCTCTTGGATTGGTGGGTAGTTGTAGAATCGCTGAAGGCCAGCTGATCTGCTCTTTAAAATGTCGTCTTTTTCCGAGTCTGAAAAGTTCTTTTGTATTACAGCTGGCTTATCCGTTTCTTTCGCTTTCGTTGCACACCAGTATTCACAGTCGTTCCTCAAACTTTTGGTTAACCTAGATTTTATTATTTTACGCTCTTCATCAATAGTACGAGATCCTAGGGTTCTAGACAAGGAGGTCTGCTGGTCGATTTAACAGAGAGTGTGCATGTTGAAGACGCCAATGTGTAGTCTGGAGAGAGGTTTCAGTAGACCTGGGACAGTGTTTTGCGCACTAGAATCGTTGGCTATGGTGACACTTGGGGAGGAAGCCAAAAGAGGAAGTTTAGTGTTGAAAGTCAATGTAGGAAGAATAATAGGAATTGAAAAGGGAAGCTGATTATGAATACAGTGATCTTGAGTGCTGTTGGAGGTATCAAAGCGGTTATCATTCCCCGGTTGCCCACTCCGTGGAAAGGTGCTTCTGGAGGTCTCTGAAAAGGAAATCGGGTTAGGGGTGGTCCTAGTGACCTGAGAGCATGGCCGCAGTGCCCAAGGGACAACTGCTTGACGTCGGTTACACACGACCTTTTTATGAGTAATTTTTGTGTTAGCTCCGTACTTGTTGAGACCTTACCGCCGGAGACGGATATCCGTGGGATAAGGCGAGGTGTGCATTTTTAGGGTCGACCTTTCCTAACCACACCCCTCCTTGTGGGAAGGCAGCATCGCTGTCATGCTGGTTGTCTGAAGGAAACACCTTACTGCTGTCACACCTCTTTACAGTCAGCAGTACGGCTTCGCCTTCGGACCTTGGGTTTGCTGCCTTTGATCTTACCGCCCTTCAACCGACCTGTTTGGCATGGTAGGACCTTGAGGAACGATTTTCCCAGCCAGTATAGCTCGATGGGTTCATCACGATAGGCAAGCCCGACCACCGCGTCAAGGTAGCAACAACGGTCGGAAGCTTTAGTAAGAGTAACAAGGGTTCGAGTCGATGTTCAATAAGCTGCCTTGATTAGTTTAATGATTTCGTCTATGTACATAAATATAATTGTTTACTAGTATGAAGCCTAATCAATACCTAATTTAAAACAATATTGTTCGCTTATATACGTTGTCCTTATTCACAATACGGGAATTTTTAAAGTTTTTCTAAGTGACTCAAACCTCAAGTAACATGTTAGCAGTCACACAAGCCATCAAAGTGATGTAACAAAAACATTTAACCACCAATTTAACATACTAGACTGAATTGAGGGTTTTCTCGTTTTGTATTTTGCCTAGCAGTTTTCACGTCAGTCAAAGCGATCAGCTTGTAGTTGAATTCATCATATTGAAAAGAAGACATTATGCAACAATGAAGTCAGATTGATCGAGTTTGTAGGCGTGTTCATCAAATAACTGAATTTATGTGGAGATTTTCTCTCATGCTGATAGATAGTGGGAAACGAAGTAAAACAGTGAGTGTAAGGAAATAGTACGGAAAAAATGACAGAAGTATTGCGACAACTCAGTAACTTAAGAATATAGGGGGAAAAACTATATTAATTATATTGGTTTATCTAGAGAAGTGCCTTTTATACTACATAAAAGAGGGATCGAAACGCGTTAGAGTTCATTCTGCTTTGTCTGAGCGGTTGACAGAAACAATAGGAGTACCACAAGACTCGGTCTTTGGAATTCTCTTTTTCGTACTATCCATTAACGACCTACTTTGTAATCCAGATTCCGAGATTCTGCTATACCAGATGGTCTTGGGATTTAAAAATGAACTGACTGACTGAGAAATGGATGAGATACTTCTGACAACTCAAATTTTCACAAACAGTTGGTTATACGACTGGGTCACCAGAAAGCTACTCTCAATAACTGAAAACGCAGGATGCTAATGATGAATAACAATGGTGCACGCAGGTCGTAGTTTCTGGGTGATTTAAGTTTTACCTTCATAAGCACAACAACCGATCTGCATATTACTTAATGTAATACCCTAAGTATCTTTTACTATTACTGTCCTGGGCACAATAAAGTATACTGTCCTGAGGTTTCTTTCGAAAACTTGAATTAGTTGACTCCAGAATTATTCAAAACTGCTTTCAATGTTTACTCAAAACTTTACCTGGGGAAAAACTGCATTATGTCTCTTAAGAAGTATGTAGCTCTCTTGAAACATGTAAAATAGAGCAACACACAATGACACACTAAAATAATAAATCCTGCTCAGTCCCTTGAAGGCTTTGAATTTTCGCCCTGTGCGGTGCATAAATATTAGGAGAATATCATCAGGATGAATCGTAGTCTTCATAATCCTCTTCACTAAAGTACCATACATTTTGGTGCAAAACTACGCAAACAAGAACATCAATGTCATATAACACGGACGTTCCCGCAAAACTTTGTGCATACTTTCTCGTGGTTTTAATCAGTAAGCTACTGAACCACTTTTGGACGTGATAGTAATGGGGACTTATACCATCTTTCAAAACTAAGCCCGACGACTACTTTAGTTCCGTAGGAGCTCAGATTCAGATTTGTGTAGTAAGGACAGAAGGCCTACGGCCCATTTTATTCCTTTTCTAGTATGCTTTTGTGAGTGCCCAGTCTTCTCTTGAAAGAGTCAATTAAAGGTGCGGACACCACTGCTTCGGGTAGCAGTAGATAAATATCCATGCATTTTCCAACTACAGCGACATATGTTCTATAACGTTTTGCCTTGCAGGTTTAAACGTCGTAAGCCAAAGACAAGTGTGTAGAACTACCATGTATATCAAAGAACCTGACAAATCGAAAACTTAGATAATATATCTTACAACAAATTCTTCAATTTTTCGGATTTTCCGTGACCCTATAATTCATTGACGACCTTTGAGCGACTCCAAAGTGACCTTCAGAATGGCCACCTAACTAGGACTAAATGATGACTACAAACCAGTGTTAGGAATTATGATTCACAAATGATGGTTAGGAATTGGATTTAGGGTTTACATCGCGAACTGACATCAACCAAAGTGCCAAAACGCTGTTTAGCCAAACGGACGAATGGATTACTCTTCAAAATCCAAGACCTGTTATCCTAAATCTGATTGTTTCGTCCATAATTTATATTCTTGACTGTATATTAGATGTAACACAACCCATACTTGAGTGGAAAGGATTGACTTTGATAGCAAGTACCCCGTTCAAGGTGATAGTATTTGGAGTCTGACGATACCCTAACCTGTAATCATTGCGGCGGTAAATAAATCCCCGAAATAAATAGCTCTGTAAGTTTTCGACATTGGATGCCGACCAGATTAGTTTTAGTGGACTCACCTAGCTGAAGGCGCTCGGTCATGCATCCGCACCAGATCACGAGTGGAAACGCCGTGCTCAGCTGCTACTGCAATCGTCAGCCGGATTAGATCAGATAATTCCGATATATTGGCAATCGTCAAATGCAACTTCTGATCTCCTCAATTCTGTCTTTTGATTTCTCTTAGTGGGTACGAGTTATACAAGAAGGTGTTACTGGTAAAAGCGTTGTCAAACACTGAATACTTGAGCCATCATCATCGGTGAGACCGACGTGATCTGGTACACCTAACTGCAACTGTGAATCTGTTCCTTTTGGGGATTTTTATATATTACTGCCTTATTTTTTATCTTTTATACGTTGCGATATTTTTCCCCGTGTTTCAGGATATCTCTATATTTTTCCTCATATTCTCGTACTTAATATTCCCCTATGACCGAACAGACTCCTGAGGTATTTAAGATTAAGACCATGTCCATACCCTCGTTCCAACTCATGCCCTTCTGGCCCGACAATATCGAAGCCTGGTTCTGCTACGCAGAAGCCGACTTCCACGAGCACGGCGAGAACGACACACGTGCACAATTCCTCGCAGTAGTCAAGGCACTACCGCGGGAATTCAACAGGTACGTAACACCTAGTGTGTTTACTAGCGATGTTTCTGAACCGTACGAAACGTTAAAGCGTTCTATCCTTAAACGAGGAGACCTAACCGATTGACAAAGGTTAGACCAACTCTTTAACAACGTAGACCTGCAACACGGTTCTGCGACGGACATGTTGCAACTGGAAACCGACCGACTCGAAAAACAACTCGGGAACCTTCCAAGCCGGCACGCGTTAACGGCAACCGTAGCCGGCGAACATAGCCGTCTGTTATACGTCACAGATGTGACAACGAGAGTTCGCCACCTCGTCGACACTGGCGCAGAAGTTAGTGTTCTCCCAGCGAATTCCACCGACCGGCCTCACGAATCGGCTTTAAACTTACAGGAGGCAAACGGAAAACCGATCGCTACGTATGGAAAAAGGTACGTTTACCTTAACGTGGGTTTACGCAAACCCATTCACTGGATCTTCGGTGTTGCAGATGTTTCTATGCCAATTGGTATGAACCTTCTATAACACCATAATCTGATCATCGATACGCGTAAACGGAGGCTAGTAGACGGAAACATTAATTTATCCGTTTGCGTAACTTTCTCTTCTGGTTTCAGATTATCCCCAGTCACAATTAAGCACGCGATAGACCCACTTTATCAACCACTACTCGATAAGTATCCTGGAATACAGCAAACGCGACCGAAACTACCGTGTGTAACCAGCAACGTTACACATCACATCACCTGTAATCTCTAAAGCACGACGACTAGCCCCCAGAAACCTAAGGTTAGCGAAAAACGAGTTCCATTACATGATAGATTTGGAGATCATACGACCGTCAAATAGCCCATATGCATCTCCGTTGCACATGGCCCCTAAAAAGGATAGCAACGATTGGCGTCCAACTGGTGACTATCGGCGATTGAATGCAAAAACCATTCCCGATCGTTACCCGTTGCCTCGCATTCACGATTTGACAGCTACCTTGAAAGGTACAACTGTCTTTTCGAAAATCGACCTGGTTAGAGCGTATAACCAAATCCCTATGGCTACAGACGACTTTCCGAAAACCGCCACCATTGCTCCCTTCGGACTCTATGAATTTTTGCGAATGCCTTTCGGTCTAAGAAACGCTGCTCAAACATTCCAAAGATTCATAGACGACGTTTTTCGAGGTCTCAACTTTGTACATGCGTATGTTGATGACTGCCTAATCGCAAGTCCGGACAGAGAAACACATCTCAAACATCTGGATCTTGTTTTCGAACGACTACAAAAACATGGCATTACTGTAAACGTTCAGAAATGCCAAGTTGGAACCGACTCATTAGACTTCCTAGGACACACTACAGATGCTCAAGGCATTCGACCTCTTAGGACCAAATTGGCGACAATTCTGGACTACCCAGAACCGACCACGATTAAGTAACTACGAACGTTTGACAGCCTTGTAAGTTTCTGTAGACGATTCATACCTAAATGCGCTTTACTCATGAAACCTCTTACCGACCAACTTCGTGGAAATGCGAAATCCATTAATTTGGACGACACCGCACGAAAAGCATTCTTCACAATTAAGGAACTCATCGTTAAAGCAACAATGCTTGCACATCAGGACACCCGAGCACCCATTAGTATCTCACTAGACGCATCCAACTCAGCAGTCGGAGGAGTTTTACAACAATGGGTTAACAACTCCTGGCAACCATTGGCGTTTTTCTCTAGACGGTTGCTAGACACCGAATCGAGGTACAAACACTGAACACCTGTGCCATCTTTATTATAATCAAAGTACATCAACCCAGTCAAATCACAAGTCCGAAGTGAAGAGGTTCGGGGATATATTAGACAGGTTATCGACTTATCGAGGGGTGATTAATCTAAGCTGTCTAGTGTTGTAGACGTGTAGCGCCGCGTACCTACTCGTTATCTGGTGCGGATTCATGATCGAGCGCCTTCAGCTAGATCTTCACTAATAAGGATAGAAGTTCTATCGACGTATACTGATCCTTGCAGTTTGTAACGCAGTGAAGGTCCAATCTCTTTCTCAATGTATCAACAGAAAGTGCTGATATTGTGTGTTTTGTTAGAGAATTTCAGTAATTCACTACGTTGTGTGAGAAACGCGATTCCAGACGTAGATGCTTTGATCTCGGTTTCTGAACTCTCTTCGAATGTTCTCTCAGATGATCAGTCCTAGACGGAATGAAAAGATAAGATATTTTTGTACTAAAGTCATCGTTCAGTATGCGATAGGCCAATATTAGATCACCCTGTATTCTACGGTAAGGTGACGAAAATAAGTTGAGGTGTCTACCTGTCTTCACAAGATAGACCAGAGAGGCATTTTACCATTTAAGTTCCTCGTCGTTGGACCCGTCCCAGCACATCCGGCCCATACTTGAAACAGGGACGAGCAGCTTGGATCCCGTATTCCGAATGCGGCCTCACGAAAGTCGGGTGTAATAATCTAAACATGAAATGACCTACGAACAGTTCACAATGCCCAATAGCTTTGTTCAGCAGCAGCCTTGCAGTTGCTAGTAGTTTTGAGATCTGTGCTTATTATGACTTTTAAATCTTTACTGTCCATCGCTTTGGGTAACACAAGTTCACGTATTGTGTGGTGGTACGATTAATCGTAGTTATTCAGTTGTATCACGACACTCCTGTTAGGAGTCACTTTTTGTGACCATTCGTCCATCCATGCCATCAATGAGTTGAGATCATCCTGTAATACGGAGTTTGTGAAATTCTGTAGCTTCATATACATTTTACTTGAAAGGTTGATGTTCCTAAGGTTCGTAAGGACCCAAAAATCATCTGGCAACCAAGTTAAATTGTTACTGCTCAAATCGATAAGTTCCAGGGTTTTAGTTAGTGGTGAACTTTCGGAAATTGACGGCCATTGGGTGATGCGGTTTTTACATAAACACAAATGAGCTACATTGAGATATTGTACTTCCTGAGGAATTGTTTCCAGTAAATTAGCACTCAGGTCAAGGAAGCGCAAACTGTATAGTTTGAGAAGTCTTGTATCAAACTGACGCAATCTCAATCCTGCTGCAGCTACTTCATGCAGAGATATACTGAAGCCTTGAGAAAAAGGATAGTCCTCTCGTCTTGTTATAACCAGCCGGCGATGACCTACTTTCCTAACCTAAATGTCTTACTGACTTGTAAAATGATATACTTCATTTGTAGCAGGCCTGTTGCTAAGAATTCCAACAGGTATTTTGTGCACACAACTAGTAAAGTTGACGAGAACCGCACCAAAATACTGTACACCACATCCTTATTTATCAGTAAAAAACGGGTGCATCGATACCTATAAGGCAAAATAAATATCATGCTCTCTTTCGAGAGATTCGAGTGAAAATGCCTTCAGCAAAGCTCATACTATCTTTTTGAGAAACTCGCTGACTCTAACCATGGAATAGTTTGTATATATATTTTTTGTGAAGTGTTCTATCATAAAATTGAGGGGGAATCGAGGTCCAGATGCGTTAACATTGATATATCGCCAAGTTTTTTCAACTCATTAATAACCTTTATAGTCTCAGAATTTTGACACCGAATTTACACGTAACGCTTTCATAATGGAAGGATACCAACCTAGTCAAATCAGAAGTCAGGTAAGAATGAGTTCGAAGTACCAGGTCATCTGTGAAGTCCTCATCGTCTAGTTGCACCCAAGCTTTCCATTGTATTCCGTGCTTCCTCTCAGATATGGAGGTCTTCATAATCCAGTCGACCACCAGAAGAAAGAGAAAGGGGGAGAGTAAGCAGTCTTGCCTGACTCCGATCCTCATTTAGAATACACTGGTCAGCTGTCCCCCTTGCACCACTTTGCACTTAGTCCGTCCTATGAATTCTGTATGATGTTGAAGATTTCCTCACCTACTCACACCATATTGTCGGAGAAGGTTCGATGAGGTTCTCCTGTTCACACTGTCAAATGCTTTCTCACAGTCAAGGAATCGGATGTATAGTGACAAATCTCATTCGATTGATTGCTCGACAATGGTCCGTAGTGTTGCGATCCGGTCTGTTGGTCTCGGAGTTGGACGTCTACTGAATCTTTCATCGGTTCAGCAACACTCGGTTCAAACCTTTCTTGTTACCGATAGTAGTGTGATGCCTCTGTAGTACTTGCACTTGCTCAGATATCCTTTCTCTGTATATTGTTCTTCCTCCAAATTCATCCTGTATAAAACATGGAGCATGTTAGCGGTTACTTCTGTGTTCAACTTCAGTGCTTCGGCTGGTATGTTGTCAAGTCCCGCCGCCTTCTTACTCTTCATTTGTCTGATGGCCATCCTGATTTCTACCATCGTTTTACAGTGACAGGTATACGATGTTCTGTCGGTGCTGCTTCAATGTCCGGTAGATTCAATGGGGCTGGTCTATTCAAGACTTCCTTGAAGTATTCTCCATCGTATGTTCCTCAGTTCTTGAATCTCGGTGACAGGCTTGCTCTCTTCTTGCTTGACTCGTCTCTCTGGTTCACTATATTTCCCTACAAGGTTCTTCGTCTTATCACATAGTTGTTTCATCTTTTCTTCTCTTGCAACTTTCTTCACTGTCATTGCTAGATCTTCCACATATTTCTGCTTGTCAGACCGAACTCTCCCCTTCATTTGCTTGATTGCGTCTCTGTATTCAGCTTGTGCATTGACTTGCTCCGTTCTTGTTCGGCTGTTTTCAATTGATGTCTTCTTCTTCTTCCTTTCTTGAATCCTGTCCAGAGTTTCCACAGGGACCCATTCCTCATGATGATGCTTCTTGTGACCCAGAACCACTTGACACGTTGTAGTTAGTGCCTCTTTCATTCCTTTCCTCCATAGTAGTTTCTTCGTCTTTGAGTAGATCTTGTAAGGTTTGAAACCTGTTGTTGAGAGCCATCTTGAATTCGTTGAGTTTGTCATTATCTCGAAAAAGTGTCTACTGACCCTTTCTTATGTTATTTGTCCAGTTGCCCAGTGCTTCTTTAGCTTCAGCCTCATCCTGGCAACCACCAGCTAGCGGTGATCTTAAGCTATGTCAGCTCCTCTCCTGGTTCACACGTCTTCTATTGACCTTCTGAATCTTTAAGTGATGTAAATATGGTAGATCTGGTCCTGTGTAGTTTAACCCGATTGAACACATGTAGATTTGTGTATGCGTTTGCGTGGAAATACTGTGCCGCCTATAACCATTTTGTTGAACGCACATAAATTTGCAACTCTCTCATCATTCTCGTTCCTTTCGCCCAGTCGTTCCATGCCGTCCCATGATATCTTCATATCCGATGTTGTCCACTCCAACTTTGGCGTTTAGATCTCATCAAGATGGTCAGTTCCTTTCTCCAGCACTACACTATGATCAATCGCAACCTCTCATAAAACTGATTTTTGTTGTCTCCATTGCTTTTATTGGTGGGTGCATAACACTGGATAACATTTACTGTGATTCCTTCCTTTTTTGTTTTAAAAGATGATTTGTTGTTCCTGGATCCATCAGATTCCCTTCCTGCATGTGCTTTTCTTTCTTCTTTGGGCAACATCATGGGTTTCGCTGGTTTCGCCTAGTTTTGTCCCTCATTCCCGTAGCTACTTGGTTGACCTTCCGGTTTCCCATATTGTCCGAACATTCCGTGCCTTCACTGTAACGGAAGGAGGACGCTGAAGTTCCCCCAAAAGTATTTTTGATGGACAGTACTGTCATTTATTTGTTTATTTTCCCTGCCGTGTATTTTGACCTTTGTTCAGATATATTTTGACCACAATTTGCGTTCTTCAGTCTTCCTCTTCTGACTTATTATCATGTGACTTTGATTAAAGACAAAATGAGGTCACGAGCAGTGGCTAGTTAAATGAACACGCTACTTCTGTTTACCAAAGTTGTAGTCGTCGTGAACAAGTCATGCTTAAATCTTAGTGAAATCCATACTGATCAGTATAAAGACACCAAGGAAAGACTTGTGGCTTTGGAGAGACACTTATCGGACCCTTCTTTCAGATTGCTATGTTGAAAGTCTTCTTGATGTGGTTGTGGCATGCGTCACAGGATGTACAAAAACTGAAAAAAGTGAAAAATGAGAACATGTCAGCATTTTTACAAAGAGTTCTCAATGTAGCAGTATGTTTACAGTCATATCGTCGTAAACCGGAAGATTTTCCATTTATCAGTTCATCAGGTCACGGCGCATTTGGTCGTGTTCAACTTGTTCGTGAAATTACAACAGGTTGTGTATGTGCTATGAAAGTAATAAACAAATCTCGAATGCTTGCACAACACACAGATTATTGGGCCGAAAAAGAAATTATGTCACATGGTGAAAGTCCGCGGATTGTAGAATGATATTATGCTTATCAAGATTTTAAAAATTTATATATGATTATGGAATATGTTCCCGGAGGTAATCTTGTCAGTTGGATGGATGAAGTGGAGTTCATGTCAGAAGCAGCTTGTCGATTCTATGCAGCTGAAACAATTCTTGCTTAAACTGGTTCACATGCAATGGGACTTATTCATCGTGATTTAAAACCGGACAATTTATTATTAGATGCCGGTGGTCATTTAAAATTAGCTGATTTTGGTACTGCTATACGTGTTGATCCGAAAACTTCATTAATTCACTGTGATGCAGCTGTTGGAACACCAGATTATTTTAGTCCAGAAGTTCTTTTATCACAGGGAATTGGTGGTGGGAGTTATGGATTCGAAGTGGATTGGTGGGCATTAGATGCTGTTATTTACGACATGCTTTATGGTGTTACACCATTCTATTTAGAAACATTGGTCAATACTTATGCTAATATTGTGAATCATGCAAATATTTTGAAATTCCCTGAAAAAAGTTAATGTTTCCGATGCTTGTTTAGACTTTATAAAGACTTATCTATTGACACCCAATTTTCTATTGCATGTTGCCGGACTGTTGACAGTAAGGTTGTGTTTGACTAAGCTCAAGGTCACAGTGTGGTTCAGTGTGTGACTGTTAACCTTTAACTGTCTGCTTGGGAGGATTACTGAAATCCCTGCAGATAGATCTCTGATCCCATCTTGTTGGGAATGTTTTTACTGGGTATCAAGTATTGAACTCCCTTGTATTTACTGTTTCTTTTGTTGTTTAGCACGCTAATTTTTGTTAGAGAAACTTTAGACTATATAGTACAGGTTGTACCGTTTGAGGTATTTTGTATTTTGATATAATTATTTCTATTTCCCAAACTAGAGTATTTTAAAATGAGCACAGAGTTTGTGGTTTGATATAATTTAACACGAGTAACACAAAAACGCTTCGTACGCCATACAGAAAAACGTAGTCTGGTCTAATCGAATAAATTTGGGTTCGTTAGTTCTGCAGTTCAGTCGTAACACTTATATTGATTTTTACCCTGGTTGTTAGAAGGGTCATCCGCCTCATGAATCCCGACGAATCTCGGCTTCCTCCATGGGGCGTCATAATTCTTCCTTCAACCACAAGGACAGATTTTAAATGATTTAATATGTTTATCCTGGTTAGTGTTTTTCTTTCAAGGATGTTTTTTAATGAATGAGGATTCTGACCCCACTCTTGGTCCCCCTCATTTACTCGAGCGTTGATCGTTAGTAGCCCTAGGATAACTACAGGAGGAGTTAAATCTTAACTACAGTCAAAGAATAAACGCTGAGAGTGAGAATGATGGACGATATAAAACGTCGTTACAAGAGTCTCGGGTCAAAAGTAAGGTACAATATCGGAGGACAGAATGAAGAAATAAAAATACCGTTCAAAACACTGTAGATGTGCACCTACCAAGTCGGATATGGTAGACTTTGTTTCCAAAGAGACTAGGCTTGACATCAGTGATGTTAGAGTATGAAGGGAAAGTCAAGATTCCCCAAGGAGATCTAAGGTGTGATGGCCGTTTTCCGACGTCAAACTGGGTCCTGACCTCCATCTATTAGAACTAAAGAGAGTAACTGTCACGCCTTTAATAGTCATAAAATCCGTTGTTGACGAATCCATAAATTTTCAGATATCATCGAAGCGGAACGTTACGGATTTGACTTCACAGTATTATCATAAGTTAAGATATATTGGTTGTACACAGATAATGGTAGCAATCAGAAAAAGGTTTTGAGTAATAATAGGGGACAAGTCATGAAAAGGTTGGTGAGAAATTATGCTTCTTGCAAAAGAAAGGACGTCTGTCCTGTTCAGCGAGTGATTGAACTATCACCATCGGTCCTAGTGACCGACCGTTTTATCAGTTGGGGTAGATAACTTTCGACCAATCATGGTAAGGAAAGGCAGAAGTCTCGAGACTCGCTACAGATGTGTATTTACTTGTCTAGGATTGAGAGCTATGAATCAAAAGATGGTGTACAGTTTTACTGCTGACTAGTTCACCAAAACGCTAGTGAGGTTTTATGGCAGCGGAAACTGTTTAAGATAGGTATGTAGTGCTAATGGATAAAAGTTGGTCGGAACTGAACGTTATTTAGGGAGATGTTCTTGGGGCTGGATATAAAAGCACATACATACTGACTTGCTCAAAGAAGTCATTGGCTGGCATTTCAGTCTCGCTGCTGATAATCACTGAAGAGGAGTCTAAGAACTCAAAATTCACTCTGTTTGTAGGGTACTTAGTACCTTAGTTTATGAACAGACTTTAGCAGATGATTACCTTGAAACATTCATGCTAGAGCCCGAATGTATTGATAACAGTCTACCCCTGGTTAATATTACAGATGACACGAATGATCTCGAGGGTATAAAACCAACTATGCTGTGTGACGGGAGAACTGTAGACATTTGGTTGATTTAAAACTTTTTATTGTATATTAATAATTTTACTGTGTTTTTGCGTGTATTTGTTTTAATTAACTTTTGAAATTGTTTGTTTATATCATTAATTTCGGAAATTTTGGTTTCTCTTTGTCATTGGTTTGGTATTTTGGAGTTTTTGCTCTGGGAACCTACAAAATTGAAGATTTGTTTTGTAATTGTCATAATTATTGTTGTTAGAACGACATTCGGGTCGACTATTTGTGAATCGCGAATAAACTTTTATATATAAGTTGGAGTTTGGTTCTGTTGTTAATTTAGGTTCGTTAATTGAAAATAGATCTATATACCGTACTTCCATAACGGGGACGAGCAAAAACTTCGACGTAACATCCTGTAACTAAGACTGGACTTACCCCACCTACCAATAATTGGATAATATGGTTTATATGGATAATTTGGGACCAACACAGCTAGCTCTGAATAAAATCTCTCCATGAACTCAGCTTCCTTTTGAATACACACAGGCTGATAGTTTTCGCAAACATGTTCCAGTTTTTAACAGTTCGCTGCAAAAGTAGTCAAATTCGTAACCATTTTGCATAAAGCTTTGAAAGCTGTTTGGAAATCCACGGAACAAACTATATAAATCACAAATCCTCAATTAAACTAACAGTCACAATCCTGAAGTACGATCAAAGAACTAGGCTTCATGCAGTTGCTCTTGCACCACCTAAAACGTGGGGGGCTCCCCAGCTGATAGCCACCATCTTGACAACTAATCTTTCTTGATGACTTAACTATAACGTTTAGTACAATGCAGATTGTCATCAAAATTGAGACCATCATTGCGCCTTGCAAGTTGCCGGACAACCGCTCGTTAATAGATTAAAGTATACATCAAAACATCTAGAGAATTATGGTCTAGTTTGTTATAGGTGCTGTCTTAATACTAGAAATAATCCTAAAATTGTATATTTGTCATGATGTGACCATAATAATACTTTATTCTCAAGTAACATTTTGTTACATGGGGCATGCTAGTTTACAGGCAAGATCAACCTGTTACAAAAGGTACAATGTTCAATGTAACAAATTACTCAGCTAGGTTGATATTTTATGAGATATGAATTTAGATGCTTTCTGTAAGAATCGTATTGTCAATATCACGGTCGGCGAGCTTTATGAAGGCTGCATTGCGACGTGCAACTGATGGTCCAGAATAGACCTTTGTGAAGCCGGGGGCTTCTGGAAACCTCAACCTTATATCCCTTTGGAAGATCTGAGGCTTTACTGATGGTTTAGGACGAAGTCACCCGTTCCATATGTGTTTTCGGCGGCATATCTCAAGGGGGCTGAAGAAGGGTGTAAGGAAAAGAAAAGACGAGAAGCAGAGAAATAGTTAAGATATGACTACTCAGTCTAATTCTCTTTTATCAAGGTAGTTATTAAGCAAGAGCATTCTAATATGTCAAAGAAAATAGGTGTAAACAAGGTATGAGTGGATAAAGAACTGCACAAATAAAGGTAGTTCAGAAAGAAGCTGAAAATATGGGATTGTGTGTACTTATAAAATATAGTGCTGAAAACAATATTCTGATACACAAAGGGCTGTCTCCCTTTTTGTCAAAGCTATTTGAGCCCATCTGTTTTGTAGATTATGTAGGAGCTTGAGCAGGCTTTGTTTTTAGCGAATTGTCTAGTTTGCTTGTAATAGGATTATTCGGTAGGAAGTGAAACCAGTCCAACGTCACAAACACGATTTAATGAGGTATTTTATGTAATAAATCAGCATCAATACCATTAGTCCGTGACATCCCAAGTGATCGTTAGGATCCGTAATTCGACAAAATGTTCTGCCGTACACACATGGGTGGAACGAATTTAACTCCCCACCATCATGTTTGCTGGTCAGTAAGGCCACCCTCCTTCCTATTGTGATGTTAGGCTCTTTTACGTTTGTGGTAAGTGTGAATTCTGTTTCAATCAAAGCCCATAGTTAGAATGCACTGTCTCTACTAGTTCCGTATTACGAGCAAATCAGATAGTTAAAGCATTTGTATTATGGGCTAGATGTCCATTTAGTATATCACACTGCTATGAATATAACTTATTGTAGAATTTTAAAGAACAGATTAGATCATATGTGGTTTAAAGATGCTGAGGACTGATGGTAGATCAAAGGATATGAAAGATTATAAGATTGTAAACTTTTCAGGTAAGAAAAAAACATTGAGCAAGTCACAAAGATTTAGGACATTTTGAGCTTCTTATGATCGGCCTTAGTTGATCAGCCTTCATTTCATTCTAAACATATCTTATTCTCAAACATCCAACGTCTATAATAACAAATTATCCTAAGTAACACTTAAACAAATTAACTTCTCGAATTCATTTCATTTTCACCACACACATATATTTGCTTATCCTCTGCAATTAATTGTGACTTTCACAGCACCATTTTAAATTATTATTGCACAAAAGTTTATACTAATATCAAGTTTTACTCTATATACCATTACATAAGTCTACATGCGTTTATTCGAGTTCATTAAAGATTTTTTCCAAATTGTTGGTTTACTTCAGAGTTCGATATTCATTACACTATTATTATAAACTCTGCCTTGCGTCCCTCCGGGGGTTACTGCCGGACCCAAACCCGGATAAAGGAGGAGGGTTGGGCATGGGGTTAGCGACCCCATCCCGTGGAAAAATAACTCGCTAAAAAACCCTAACCAGAAAAAATTATTCGAACCCTTTAAACTCTGCCCTGGGAGTCAAAAGGTCTTCACTTAGGAGACCTATGACGCCTCATGATGAAAGCCGAGTTACTTCGGGAGTTACGAGGCCGATGCCCCTTCCGACAATCAGAGCAACCATCTATTGAGGTACGTGGAAAGCTTGGATAATGTGGGACACCGGGGGAGCATTCCAAATTGCTGCAGAAATGAGGAGATACAACCCGGAGGTACTTGGGATCAGTGAAACACATTGGACGCAAGTTGGACAAAAACGATCAGCTTCAGGGGAGCTCCTGTTATACTCCGGCCATGAAGAAGAAAATTCCCCACATACACAAGGAGTTGCATTGATGCTATCAAAACAAACACAGAAGGCATTTATAGGATGGGAATCGCATGGACCCAGGATCATCAAAGCCTCGTTCAAAACAAAGAAAGAGGGCAGTTCAATGAAATTCACCCAATGCTATGCGCCTACCAACGACTACAATAAAGACGTTAAAGATCAATTCTACGATAGGCTGCAGTCAATCATCGAGAAGTGCCCAACAAAGGACTTGACCATTCTGATGGGGTATTTAAATGCCAAGGTTGGAATGGACAATGCTGAATATGAAGAAATCATGGGACGACATGTACTTGAAGAATGAAACGCAAATGGTGAGAGATTTGCATACCTATTTGCCTTCAACAAACTGGTCATAGGCGGCACCATATTCCCACATAAACGCATACACAAAACCACATGGACTTAACCGGATCACACTACACAAAACCAAATCGACCATATCTGCATCAACAAAAAGTTCAGGAGGACTATGGAGAATGTGAGAACCAAGAGAGAAGCTGATATAGCATCAGATCATCACTTGCTGGTCGCCAAGATGAAATTGAAACTCAAGAAGCACTGGACAATGGGGCGGACAATATCACAAAAGTTCAATACGGCCTTTCTTCAGGATACTAACAAACTCAACAAATTCAAGATAATCCTCAGCAACAAGTTCCAGGCCTTTCATGATCTACTCAATGGGGAAGGAACTACTGTGGAGAGCAACTGGAAGGGGATCAAATAGGCAATCACTTCAACATGTCATGAGGTCCTGGGTCACAAAAAGCACCATCACAAGGAATGGATCACTGTTGATACACTGGATAAGATTCAAGAAAGGAGGAACAAGAAGGCAGCAATCAATACCAGCCGACCAGGAGCAGAGAAAGCCAAGGCACAAGCTGAATACACAGCAGTAGTCAAACGAGTGAAGAGGAGCACCAGAACCGATAAATATAAAAATGTGGAAGATTTAGCAATGACGGCGGAAAACACTGCAAGAGAAGAAAACATGAGAAAACTGTAGGACACAACAAAGAAAGTCGCTGTAAATTACCGTAAACCAGAACGACCAGTGAAAAGCAAGGGAGGCGAAGTAATCACCAACATTGAAGAGCAACAAAACAGGTGGGTAGAACACTTCAAAGAATTCTTGAATCGACCAGCTCCACTGAACCCACCCAACATCGAAGTGGCACCCACGGACCTCCCAATCAATGTTGGCCCACCAACCATTGAAGAAATCAGCACGGCCATCAGACAAATCAAGAGTGGCAAAGCAGCAGGACCAGACAGCATTCCAGCAGAGGCACTGAAAGCAGACGTAGCGGTAGTTGCAAAGATACTTCACATTCTCTTCAATAAGATTTGGGATGAGGAACAAGTACCAAAAGACTGGAAAGAAGAACTGCTGATCAAAATACCGAAGAAAGGCGATCTCAGCAAGTGTGATAACTAAAGGGGCATCACTCTTCTCTCAATACCGTGAAAAGTCTTCAACAGGGTATTGCTAAACAGGATGAAGGACTCCGTAGACGCCCAACTTCGTGACCAACAGGCCGGATTCCGTAAGAATAGATTATTATTATTATTATTATTGTTAGAAGCTTTATTCAACATTATATTTTTGGTACAACATAGAATTCTCAGCATAAAGTATTGCAACAAGTTTCCTTTTCTTACACCTTGATCTATTGTGATGATAAATTTTGAATGATGACCGGTTAGATGTTAGGAGTTCGGTAATCCACATTTGATTAATGTTCATTCGTTTCAATGCATATTGCCAGCCACCATGATGTCGCTGATTGTACCTTTTTGTATCACGTATAGCGAAAGGTTGTAAACTTTTCATAAACGCGCCTGAATAAATCGTGCGCACATAAGACATAATGATGTGCTAAAACAAACAACAAAAGAGATAACTTGATGAAATATCTAGATCAGAGGAATAGGTAGCCCAGATATTCAAGCAGGCCGCCTTATGATTCTGTGCAGACCAAATGGCAACTCTACGGATCATTGTGGAATAATGTATTGAATGGAATTCATAACTCTACATCAACTTCATTGACTACGAAAAAGAATTTGACAGCATAGACAGAAAAACACTATGGAAGCTTCTTCGACACTACGGTGTGCCTCAGAATATAGTCAATATCATACAAAGTTCATATGATGGATTACACTGCAAAATCGTGCATGGAGGACAGTTGACAGGCTCGTTCGAGTTAAAGACCGGTGTCAGGCAAGGTTGCTTACTCTCACCCTTTCTCTTTCTCCTGGTGATCGACTGGATCATGAAGACGTCAAGATCTGAAGGGAAACACGGGACACAATGGACACCTAGGATGCAGTTGGACGATCTAGACTTCGCAGATGATCTGGCCCTTCTATCCCAAACGCAACAACAAATGCAAGAGAAGACGAACAATGTGGCAGCAGCCTCAGCAGCAGTAGGCCTCAATATACACAAAGGAAAAAGCAGGATTCTCCGATACAACACAGCATGCACCAATCCAACCACAATTGACAGAGAAGATTTGGAAGATGTAAAAACCTTTACATATCTGGGCAGCATCATTGATGAACAGGGTAGATCTGATGCAGATGTGAAGGCGCGGATCGGTAACGCAAGAGCGGCATATTTACAACTGAGTAACATCCGGAACTCAAAGCAACTGTCAACCAACACCAAGGTCAGGATTTTCAATACAAATGTCAAGACAGTTCTACTGTATGTGGTGGAAACTTGGCGAACTACGAAAGCCATCATCCAGAAGATACAGGTGTTTATTAACAATTGTCTGCGCAAAATACTTCGGATCCATTGGCCGGACATTATTAGCAACAACGTACTGTGGGACAGAACAAACCAGAGTCCAATGGAGGGGGGAATCAGGAAGAAACGCTGGAAGTGGATAGGACACACATTGAGGAAAGCACCCAACTGCGTCACAAGACAAGCCCTCACATGGAATCCTCAAAGACGAAGAAAAAAATGAAGACGAAGAACAGGTTACGCCGGGAAATGGAGATAGACATGGGAAAATGAACAAGAATTGGATGGAACTAGAGAAGAAGGCCCAGGACAGAGTTGTTTGGAAAATGCTGGTCGGCGGCCTATGCTCCATTGGGAGTAACATGCATAAGTAAGTAAATGAGATAAGTGATGCAAAAAATAACCACGTCTACAAGACTGAACCATGCCATCCGTTTCACTGAATTGAAAGGATATTTCCACATTCCCAATTGCTGGCCATGTCTCAGTTTTAAATGTTGAATATCTAATTCCCCAGTTGTCTCGTGTTCACATTTGAGGATTATGTGGTTAGAATCAGTGCCACTACAGATCTTTGTAGAGAACATAAGTTCTTGGAGGGTAATTTTTCAACAAATGATATTACTTACATTCACCTGCCATACATCACGTGGGAGCACATGCCGCAGACTGCAATCTTACAAAAGCATTGGCTCATTTGAGGTCAACAGTCTTTCAGTGCTTAAGTGCAGACGTCATCCTGTAGATATCTGAATGATGCGTTATAGGCAGTAAGCATGTAAAAATAGAAAGCGAAATATGATGAAAACTTACAGTTGATCGTTTGGTGCACTAGATCAGGTCAACCCTGCGCTAAAGACAATACAGATATCCTGAGTTCGACAACGCTTTCGTCCGTAACACTCTTATAATCGAAGGATACCAACCTAGTCAAATCAGAAGTCAGGTAAGAATGAGTTCGAAGATATATTTTAAAGGTTTTTGATTTGTTCAGTAGCATTTGATATAAGCTGACTAGTAGTTACAATAGATACATAGCACGGTATACATATTCGTGATGTGGTGTGAATGCGTGACCGGGTGCCCTCAGTCAGTAGGTGTCCAGTAAAATTAATGAGGTCAGCATCAACGTTGTGGACTTTGAGAAGTATCTATTATGGGGATTTATTTGCCTCTACATTGGCGATGTAACTAGGTATAAACAATTTTCATTTCATCAACAACCACTTGCATGAAACAGCTGTCCCATATCTATATACCTTCTGAGAAACCAGGTCACACTAACAACTCCTTATAAATATAATCCAAATAAAAAGATTTGTCTAACGCTGAAATATTATAGTGATTCACTGATGCCAACAGAACACCTAAATATTCAACCATTCTGAAGACGTTCAACCAACCTTAAACATTTAAAACACACTACCCGCAGTGAATTTAACTGCTCAAGGTCGTCGGGGCGACGCAGCGAATCCCAACCACAAGTTGACGTTTACTGCCCACACCTTTGGTTTACAAATGCTTGAAATACTACAGGTACGACCCACGTCGTCCTTATAAAAGACCCATTTTAGCGCTTCAGACTTTTAAAAGCTCTTCCCAGATTAGTGCATACCTATGTACATCCAATTCAAACGATTACAAATAAACAACAATTGATAAGCTCACATAACATAACGAATTTCCAACCCAAGTCTGCTGATACTAAGTCTATCCTTCCTGACTCTGTCAAACTAGTCAATCACGGCATAAGTGAATTTAAAACACCTATTGTGAACACTATCGTATTGAGCCAATCCATTACATTGCCATCTCTACCAAATGCTATTCCCATCAAATTAAAAAATGATATCAAAATTCGCAGGCGAAAAATGAAGAGACATCAGAAGAAAAGGTTACATAGACGTCATGCTGTGTTGATACGAAAGGAACAGATGATGCGTGAAAAAAAAGAGGAAAGCAAATTACAACAGTTGCTTGAATTTTGGAAGATTCGTTCAGAATCATGGGATCCGGTCGATAAGGTGAAAAATCGATTGCATTTAGCGAGAAGATCCGGTTATTACGTAGATATACTTAGTACTAAAGGCAGTCCATTTTCTAAAGAATAAATGTTTAGTACTAAATCTTACTTTCTTGATTCCCCATATGTTTACGTGAATAAATTGTAAAAATCTACGTTTTAGGAACCAGAAGGTCGGCTACATACCAAAGATTTATCGAATCCTATACATGCGTCGAAATGCGGTCAAGAAGCGTTGCAGGATATGTTAAGCGGGTTGAGAGACTTAATGTTGCTGTTCTACGCGTGCATGGATCCTAAAACCCGAGGAGTCAGTACTCACCAAGCATCTATCGCTGGACCACAATGCGTCGAAACGTTGCAGCACATGAAAAGCAACAAAGAACTTCTTCACCAGGTATTACTGTCAAATAACTTTAGATGTTAGCTTATAAGGGTCTCACGTTTTCTGTACTGTTACTAGTGACGGTGAAAGTTTTGTCAGGTGGGCCGTTGTATATGATGGCTAGTGTTGTAGCTTTGAAGCACTAACAAACCAAGTAGTTTAGAGGAATTAAGTGGATCACCACCGGTTGTTGTCTTAGGCTAAATAATTGCAAAGATATGCCACTGGTTACAATGTTCGACTCATAGAGTGGGTTAACCTCGTATAGCTGTCATACACATGACTTGTTGTCTCATCATACTTGTGGTAAAAATGCCTGCTACAGAATGTATTCGAATACTCTTTTTCAGCTGTTTAGGGAATAATTATAAGTATTTGGATCTAAGATAAGCAGCCCTCATTTCAAGTTACAGTGTACAGTAGTGCATGCTATCCGCCAAATGTTATGTGGAACACCAACCCCTCAATTACTAATATATGCGCAGCTCCGACAAAATGATGCATTAAAATCACAATTCCGTTCAGATTGTCTTTAATAACAGTATAACCAACCTTTACTTCTAGCTAATTTAACATCTTATGAAAGTTGTCGGATACTTGGAGAGCTTTAGAGTCGTTTTGATTCAACTTTTTAGTGTAGATACTAAATTTCAGTAGAGGCACGTTTTTGTCCATTACGGACTTATTGGACTTCATTTCATCGAAAATTTGTTTCACTTTCGTTCTATATTCTATGCCAATATGCATCGAGTTGTAGAAACTAACCAGTTTGTAGACCCTAACTGTACAAGCAATGTAAACATCAACCCTCGTATTGAACATACTCCCACTGCATACAATCCACTATACGCTTTATACGAATATTCATCAATATTAGAACGGATAGTTCGACAAAAATTGGGCGCCGGGTATAGAGAAGTCATATGTGGAAAAAATATATTTAAAGTAATCTCAGCGATTGAAATTTAAGTGAGCTTTGTTCCTTTAGATTAGCAATTCACAAATCAGTGTGGAGATTTGATCGCTCATGTTTTTTATTCAAAAGTCAGTACGAAACCACTCCATACGTTGAGCTTTGCATTGCTTATTTCGTAAAATGTAACTTGTGTACATGGATCAACGTGATCCATCCCCCATTCTATTTTAGGCCTTTCATGTAGTAAAAGAAAGTTGTGACCGCTTACTTCCTGCTGACGTTTCTGATCTTGTCCCCTATGTGGATACCCCGATAATGAACAGAGAACCAAGTCTTGAATTAAAGCAACTAATTATAGCTCGTGAAAAAGTAATCAAAAGGTTGCTAACAGTAACAGAAGAACTCGAAAAACTACGTCGCATTTTAACAAAGACAGTGTGGGAACTCAATGACCTTACTGACCCAAATGTTCAGAAATTTTGACTACTATTTTGTCTAGCATTTGTATTTTGCTTATCTGAGACAGACAAATAAATGCAAGTTGTTCATTCTTTACTTTTCGTACATCTTTCCTCTTATTAAAGAGTACACTTTACTCATAGTTATACAAGTTTCTAGGTCGAAGTGCAAGGAATTTCCGAGTTACCAATGCACGAAATCCGAATACTTTATGAACAACCCTGATGTTACTCTTTCTAAACCCAGTGAATTAGATGCTAAATTCTTACTACAGTTCTGTGCGCCTACTAACTTTATCCATTTGGGGGATATTCACTACCTTTAAGACTAACCATTCTCAGTAAAATCAAAAACTGAAATTAAGAAAGTGTATGGATTCATCAGTACTATTTATCATTAATAAACAGGTTTCTGACACTGCATTGACCAAAAAATAATTCGAACTTTACAACATGAAAAAGAGCCATTATTCGAAAACTAATCTAAAGCGTATTTCCAAGTGTTGGAACTGAAAGTTGTTAGACATCTTTCGCTGCATAAATAGGCCAAAATGTTTGGGGGGCTCTGGCGATCACAAGAAATGTTCATCCAACTTTTATAGGACACAAGAATGCGGTAAGGATTCACACCACATCTTAAACGGCAACATAAACAAGTTCTAAATACTGCCAAGCGAATACGCAAACTCCAAGGTAAGATACTTTCAAGATAGGGGTACCTGTAGAACAACCAAAAGGAGTTTTAAGAACATAGAATCACTACCTAAGCGTTACTGAATCGTACTAGGTAACTGTCATTTGAAGTGTACACTATGTTATGAGTCCCGCACACGCAATTAGGTGTAAACACAGTCTTAAAGCTTCAAAATTAATAAGGTTTTTCTAAGTAATTAATTTGTAAATATGAGGGTTTCAGTATAGACGTACTTTTATTTGATAAAGGTAGTGGGATCTAAAAAAAGCACGATAGTCTGGACATATGTAATCGAAAGTGGTGCACGAAGAACGACTATCATCACTGTGGTAGTCTACGATTTTCAATGTTTATCATTGCTAAACTGCCATATATAAAGTGGGGATGAAATTTTCTTAAAATATGTGCATACAGTAATTTTCTTACCAACTAAACGCACACAAAAACAATCTTGATAGAAACAGGACGGCTTATGTGCAAAATAAGTAACCCACAAACTGGTCATACTAGTGAAGTTGGGTTTCTGAGTTGAATGATTTAACTGCAAAGCTTTTATTGTCCTGAAGTAAATCATCAGCGCATACCTAAGAATGAAGATGATTGCTAGGATTTCTCCACAAGTGATTAGTATTTTCTGTCAATACTGAGTCGTTTTGCCATCATGTGTTATGTTTTGCACTTCTTCCAACTACCAACGCCTTTGACCTAATTTCTAACTTTGTAGTTGTTTATATTTGTAAACGTAGATCTTAATATCCAAAGATATGAACTACTTTTCATCAGTTACTGAGTATCTAGCAAGTGTCAAATTGTAGGGAAACGATTAGTAGTAATGGCTACTACCAGCAAATAATTATGAAATACCTTAGCATACTCTGATAATTTTCCATCTTACGAAACTGGAATAAGAAAAATAAGTACAGAAACACATACCAATTACTACGAAGGAAACTTGTTGACGCACAGCTGAGTAACGTTAAGGCAACATCACTCGGTTTAACAACCAAATCGGAAGGTAAAAACGGATTATTGTAAACTACTAGTTGGTTTAGTTGACGGGAAGGTAATATAGATGACAAAGAGTCCAATTTGTTATCATTCAAAATAAGCACAGAGAGCCGGTCTAACTTGTGCAAGAAAGCAACTGGGACACCTCTCAGTCTGTTATCTGTCGTAAAAGTACAGGAAAAGCACACTATAGTATTACGATTTTGAAAATTTGCTGACAAAGAAGTAAATAGAAAGATCTCCACTGGAGAAATGTTTGGTTCTTATTAATGTCTCTACTTCCACTTCTAACTGCTTTCATTGAACATTCCCCTAAAACAGAGGTCTCTTGGTGTAGATAAGCACTGAATCCTTAGTTTTCCAGTTAACGCAAGGTGCATTCGCAAAGACTATATCATAATATTTGTGGGGACAAGGTCTGATGAAAATTCTCATTTACTCTAGTGTTCCTCTAAATTTGATCTATATCCCAATTATAGGACAGTCATGGATATTAGAAAGTTTTTATTCGAGCCATAGAACATAAGGCAGAATAAAAAAGACCCTTGATAGAAAATCGTCTTCGCCTACTGTTATGAACACAATAATTTCTTAATTATTTCAATGGTGTGGTATGACAACTCGAACTGATTTACGTACGTATGAAGTTCTACGCTGCTGATGACTGAATAACATTTTCGAACCTATAAGTGATGGTTGTAAGGTTTACTAGTCATTGTATTTAGTTGTACTTTGTAAGGAACGATAGAAGGGTACAAAAAACATCCCAGTCTTCTTTTAACAATGTTTGAGCTAAATAATAGTCATTTCCAAAGAGTTTGTGTCATAAGCCTTAACTTTGCAACCATATCATTCAAATATATTTCGATCATACAATGAGAAGACGAAAATTATCAGAATTATGTGCAATTATAGTTGTTTCCTAAAATTACGTTGATACTTAATCTTCTATTTATTAGATGTGCAGCCATTTAAATCTTAGTTCTATTCGGTTCAAACAGTTAGATTAAGTTTCGAATCCTCGTTATCATATGCTAATTACTTTGTTTACCCTTACTATAAACCTTATTGACATCCAGCAATCTAAGGATTGAAATATATGTTTAAAAGTTAAATGAACCTGAAAGAAAGTTTTATCAATAACAGAATATTCTGAGTTCTGCACAATCAACGATCCGGCCCACAAAAAATGCCTGTTATGAAACGTTAGTTTATGTATCACTTCAATAAACAATGCATTTTACGATCGGGTCTATGTGATTGTGTATTAAAAGTAGTAAAATGTTCTCTGGTTAAGTTTTGCTAACCATATTCGGGAAACAATTACTACAGAATGAAAATCTCTACTAGGTTTAAATAGACTATTAACATTAGTTTTGTGTGTGAATACATCTGCCATATTGAAGGCCTAAGAACACGTTTTAACTAACACAATAGATACATCAGACGCTCAAGCACAAACTAGCGAACAATTTCTATCAACTTATGTTGACTAGACTGCTTTTACGATCGTTTTATAATATTCACGTCAGCTTTACTTTTACGGTTGGTGTTTCGAGTTCAAAAATATAAGCTTGAAAACGAACGGACTGAGGTTGATGCCCGATGGAACAATCATGTACATAATCTTATAATCATAGAAAGCATTATTTTTCAAAGGGGTAGTGGTTGTGGAATTCTATAGATACATATACATTTTAACCTAAAAAAAACACAACCTCGATGAGAAATTACACGGATTTGTAATAAGCAACTGAAAACGCCTACCCTGAAGGACTTATTATTATGATGAGTATAAAAAATCCAGATAATGTCTAGTGGGAATATATTGCAACTTTGAAGCACCATTAGGTAAGAATCACGCATACAAATAATTTAAGATGAAATAAAATGACTACCAATATGATAAATTAAATGAAGCTCACTTGAAAGGTTGACGTTTCTAAGGTTCGTAAGGACCCAAAAATCATCTGGCAACCAAGTTAAATTGTTACTGCTCAAATCGATAAGTTCCAGGGTTTTAGTTAGTGGTGAACTTTCGGAAATTGACGGCCATTGGGTGATGCGGTTTTTACATAAACACAAATGAGCTACATTGAGATATTGTACTTCCTGAGGAATTGTTTCCAGTAAATTAGCACTCAGGTCAAGGAAGCGCAAACTGTATAGTTTGAGAAGTCTTGTATCAAACTGACGCAATCTCAATCCTGCTGCAGCTACTTCATGCAGAGATATACTGAAGCCTTGAGAAAAAGGATAGTCCTCTCGTCTTGTTATAACCAGCCGGCGATGACCTACTTTCCTAACCTAAATGTCTTACTGACTTGTAAAATGATATACTTCATTTGTAGCAGGCCTGTTGCTAAGAATTCCAACAGGTATTTTGTCACCCGATTTTATAAGATTTAAAATGTTTACTAGCTTCATCAAATTCGAGGGTTCAGCCTATGATAAAAAAGTGGAATAAGCTTCAGTAAGACCGGGGCTTAAGAATGGGTTAGTCCAGAAGTCTATATACAGGCTTCTGCAAACAAACTGGTGAACTAATAGAAGATGTATAATAACTATTTTCATATGAATTACCCAGAACAAACAAGAAAACTAAGATATAGCAACTTTATCTAATTAAACACCTGTATAATCTATCCTAACAGATAAATTACTTTTATCTTTTCATTGTATTATTTAGATTCGTGATATTGAACATGTCTTTATGATGATAAAAAAGTACTTATGTACTCGTATTTTTCATGCCTATAAATGTTATATATTAAATAAATTGAGTAAAGCAGTTTACCTTCTGCAACTCGCATCTCTCGTCTGCTCGTATTAATGGATGTCTGAAATACAAGCGTCTGAAATTCTTCTCGTATCCAACTTTTAGGTTGACAAGACATGTACGAAATCAATTAGGATATATGTTTTATAAGCGCTAATATCGTTCGATAATACAGGAGTCAGACAAATAAGTACTAAAATGTAACAGTAAGTGGTACAATCCCAAGGCTCTAACAATCGGTAGTGGGAAACTAGTTTGTTTTTTATTAGATTTCTTTGTGTCTAATACATTAAAGGCAGTGAAACAACAAACCTGTGGATTTATTACCCAGACAAACTCAAAAATTGGACTACAACATATTAGTCAGTCAGTCTGCTACAACGTAGAACCAGGCACATATATGCATCGGTTCAAGTTGCCATACTTCAGTAGCACAGCAAGATGAACACTGGATTCATAGAGGTAGTTAATTCAGTGGTGATAATATGTAAAAGAAAGATTGCAATAAGGATATAATACATGAAGAAGGAATTAGTTCGTAGAAAGAAAGATACGAAGCGATTTCAATCTCATAGCTTAAGCGAAGACAGAGAGTGTATACACCTACGCCATTGTG